ATTCACAAAATGAATGGTCTAGATTCATTTTTGGAGGGGACTCATTTTGACCATATCTAGGGTTCAAATTGATTTTTTTTTTTTTGAGATTGATTATTGAGATGAAGAGAGTATGTGTGCAAAATTTGGGGTCATACAAATATCACAAACATAATTTTCTAGAAGTGTTGTTGCATTATATTATGATACAACCGTTGTATGAGATTTTTGCTATATATATATATATATATGGAAAAAGTTTATATAAAGTTGCAACTTTAAAATGTAGAATTACATATGCACCCCAAGAATCTATCGGAAAAGTGGTTTTAATATTGAAAAGCCCTCGAATTTATCATCTCAAGATTTTGAGTCCTACAAATAATGCATCTTGCACCGCATTATCTAGACGGTCTATTTTCAATATTTTCATATGTTTATAGATCTACTTGATTTTAACCATTTTTGGAGTTTAAAATTTTATAATTAGATATGAAAATAGATTTTGAGATAATCCTAATAATTTTTTACATCAAAATTAAATGTTATGATAAAATTTGGAGGTACGCCTTAATTGGATTGTTAAGGTTGCAACCTTATAGAAACCACACCTTATATACATATATGAAAAATGCTACAAAATGTCTATAGGTGAAGTTCTACAGTCCTTCACCTACGGCTTTATCACTGTTCAAAGTTTATCATACGATAAAAAATGTCTGATAGTATTTGAATTTTAATATTGTTTTTACAAATCATAATGATTTGAAATTTTGTAGGTGTGTGCGTCACAGTGAAATACACATGAATAAAATATAAAACAAATAATTTGAATGATAAAACTTACACAAAATACCCCTATAAAGTTTTAGGGGTAATTTTTTCATTTTATTTTATGTCTATTATTTTTTAAAATATTTTATTTTGGTGCGACTTGGTCATATGTACACACGTCCAAAATTTTAGATAAATCGGATTAGTACAATAATTATAAAAATTCTAATACTACCGAACAACTGTGACCGTATGATGAACTTCGGACGATGATGAAGTGTAGAACTTCACCTATAGGCGTTTTGTAGATGATTCATATATATATATATATATATATATTTTTTTTTTTTCATTGTCAAAAAAAAAATTATATTTTTTTTAAAACTTTTTTTTATGTAACCTCGAGGCTTGTATCGTAATGCTAAGAATTCTTCTGCTAAGGGTAGTTTTGCTAGTGACGAGTTCTTTAGTTTTTCTTGTTTAGCCTCACTGAAAACGGCAACCCTGTAATTCGTGGCGAAGGGGTGCACGTTTCCTGTGTAATGCCCATCCAAATTTGATAGTCAGGAAAGTTTGGGTCCCTATTGGTCATTTCTAGGTGTTAGACTCTCAACATGAGGGTATCTCTGGTCGACGTGGTTTTTGGTGCAAAGCAAAAACCCTTTCTTAAAACCAGAAGTTCCTCCTTTTTGTGCTTTGGGAAAGAGAGAGAAAATGTGTGTCGAGGCCCCTTAGAGTGTGTGCGTGTATGTGCGGTTCGAACCAATTAAAGAAAGATTTGAGGTAGGGTTTACCATGTGATGGTGGGGATGCACCAGTGCAAGCTTGCCCTCTTAGATCTCGGCGACTTAGAGCGCCCTCACAAAGTCCCCCCAGCCTTGGTTCATCTTGGTTTGGAGTCAACACCTTCTCGGCTTTCACTAGACTGTGTGCACTTAGATTGTTCAGGTCACATGATCCTTTAGGCTCGTCTCTTAGGCATTGAAAGGTATGTGCTTGGTTAGAATGATGCTACGTTGGGTTAGGGATGAGTCTAGGTTGGATGTTTTGAGGTTAAGGTAGGAGACTAGGTGGGTCAAGGTTTGGTAAGATAGGCTTGGTTGAGAGCAAGGAATGAGTCTAGGTTGGATGGATTATAAGCTATGTTGGAACTTAATAAAATCCACGCGCCTTTCGGTGTCACCTTCCTTAGGAGGCAGTACCAAACAAGGGAAAAAAGTACTAGGCACTATGGTCGGACTTGATTTTTCTTTGCACGGATAGCATGAAAAATCCTCTCTCAAACAATTATGGAGGGTCTGCGTACATTGCACGCGTGCTCTCCTACGTGCAGATAGGAACCAACAAAGACATATATTTTATGATAGGGGTGCATTTAGGCGCTTACCTCATCATTTTGGGGTTCGGGACACATCCAGGCAGTTTGTCCTCTTAGATCAATTATGAAGCCCTCCGGTTGTCTACTAGTGCGGTTTGGACGCAGACTCTCCTCAGGCTTTTCAACTCATTGCTTCGTTCTCTTGTGCTGAAAACTTCAATATGGACTGGGTTGTGCTCCTCTATAGTGGCTCTCTCG